CCCTAGCGGGCCAGAGATTTAGCTCAGTAGTTCTGCTACCTGCCTCATAAGCGCAAGGTCCTGAGTTCGATCCCCTGTTCCAAAATAAAACAAAACAAAAAAAGGATTAAAAACCTGTTACCCTACAGAACACAGAAATGATAAGCAAAACTATTGCTGATGATGGAAAATCAAACTAGCCACAATATATTTTCAAGGGCAAAGTCTAATCAGGCTTAAGACCCTAACTTTTTTCCATTTTGTGAATGCTGAGAAGAGAGGTAAAGAAGGTGTACAAGAAAAACTTGAAGCTAGCAGAGATTGGTTTGCAGTTTAGGGAAAGAAATCATCTCTATAACATAAAAATGCAAGGGGAAGAAACGTGTTGATGTAGAAACTGCAGCATGTTATACAGAAGACTAGGTAAACAATTGATGAAGGTGGCTTAAACAAGTTTTTTATTTTTGTGGGAGTTTTTGTTTTATTCTGGTTGGATGTTTTTTTTTTTCCAGTATTAGGGATTGAACTCTGTGCTTTACACTGGCTTTTTTATTTCCCAGGCTTTTTAATTTTGAAATAAGAGTTTTGCTAAGTTGCCTAGGTTGACTTTGAACTTGAGATCCTTGTGCCTTGGCCTCCTGTGTAGTTAGAATTACAGGCAGGCACCAAACAAAAATTTTTTTAATGTAAACAGCTTTGTACAGGAAGAAGATGCCATCAAGGGCTTTCATAGCTAAAGAGACTGCAGTGCCTGACTTTAAAAGCTTCAAATGATATGCTGATTCTCTTGTTAGGGACTAATGTAGCTGATTAATTGAAAGGCAGTGCTCATTTACCATTCTGAAAATCCTAGGGCCCTTAAGAATTGTACTAAAAATCTATTCTGTCTGTGCTTTATAAATGGAACAACAAAGCCTGGATTACAACACATCTGTTTATAACATGATTTACTGAATATTTTAAGTTCTCTGTAGAGACCTTCTGCTCAGGAAAAAAATTATTTTCAAAATGGCACTTCTCCCTTTTCCCTTATTACCCTTCCCCTACCCATCCCACCTTCCCTACACCTTTAGCTCCTTTCTTCCCATTTCACAATGTCAGTAATCTTATTAGGCTCTTATGTATTATTGCAGATTATTCACACCGGAGAGACTATTGAGTATTTACATATGTGTGACTTATTTATTTCACTTAGGAGTATATCCTCAATATGTATCCATTTTCCTATGAATGAATCTATTTTCTCATGCTTTATGGCTGAGTAATATTCCATTTTATAGAAAAACCATATCTTATTTATCCAGTCTCCAGTTGATGGGCAAATGGGCTGTTTCCAAGTTTTAGCTATTACAAACTGTGCCACTATAAACATTGGTGCGCATACATCACTGTGATATGATTCTTTTAGTTCTTTTGGAAAGATACCCAGCAGAGGGATGGCTGGGTCAAATGGAACCTCTAGTCCCAGCTCTTTGAGGTATCTCCATATTGATTTCCATAGTGGTTGCACCAGTCTGCACTCCCACCAACAATGGAGAAGGGTTCCTTTCTCCCCACAACCCCGCCAACATTAGTTATTGTGTGATTTCTTGATAGCAGCCATTCTTTGTGGGGTGAGGTGGTAGGGTGAAAAAATGAGAATCAAGACTTCTCATGTAGAGGTACAAGATCCCAACAATGAATGTAACTGTACTGTATCCCTAAAATGTACCAATAAACTCAAAGCTGAAAAAAAAATGGTACTTCTCAATGACTAAGTACCCAGTTACCTACGAAGTTAATGTTTTTGTCTTTTATTTGTTTTGTTTTGGTACCAGTGATAGAATTTGTGTCCTTGTGCTTGGGAGGCAGGCGGCTAAACCAGTGAGCTGAATCCCCAGCCCTAATGTTGTTTTTATTTCTGCGAAATAATAGCCATTCTGTAGCCCAAGGATCAAGGAGTAATTTTGTCTTTCAAGTCTTATTCTAAAATCTTCTCAGATTTTCCTTACTAATCCAGCCCACTGTCTTTGTTCTTACAATTCCTAGGTATAAGGTGTATGTATGTTAAGTCTCATTAAGTATTCTGAATCAAGTGAGACTGAAGCTAGTTCTTCTAGTAGCCCCCAGAAAAGTTGGATCATTGGACAACCCTGCCATCTCTTTCTCTCCCTAAGAAGGCAGGATTTCTCTGGTGTTTGCATTGCTTTGTTTTTGTTTTTGTTTTTTTGCATGTTTAGTCTACTAACCCAGGGAAAGGGGCTATGGTGACTAATTTCACCAATATATCCACCATTTTTTGTTTGTACTGGTCCTTAGGTGGTTAGGTCAGATCAGCACTTCAAAACAGGCAAGACAGGAGTCTTATCTTTTGGACAGCCTCCAGCCAAGTTGGAACTTAGATATACATTTCACTTCTTTCTCTCCCCAGGGAGAAGTTGAGCACTGGTCTCTTTTATTCCCTTACTTTGTACTGAGCCAGGGAAAGAGACTATGCTGACTCCCAACCCAAACTACCATCTCTGTTCTCAGTGGCTCCAGGTTGTTAGATTATTCTGGGTTTGGTCTTGCCCTGAAACAAGCAAGATTTCTTAGCCATATCACACTTTCTCACTTTCTAGCCTGAAGCTTTCCTGCTGCTCTACATGGGATACTATACCCCAATTCTGTACTTTACTGTGTACAGTGCTGGGATTTAACCTATTAAAACAATATAAGGGCCCTCTGTACAGTAATAAAAATATTTATGATGTATGCTAAGTGTAAAAGGCAAGGTACAGAGTAGTATGTGTATTAATGACCATTTAAATAAGGGAAAATTATATTTATTATTTATATATACATAAAATCAACCTGGAAAGATAGAGGTTTGGTTTGAAAATGAGTAGTTTGGGGGACATGAAAGAGAGGAAAACTGTCTCTAGTAATATCCTTTAAACAGTCTGGAAACCTGGGATTATCTTAGCTATTGAGTTAGAATTTTATGTTTGGTAAGAAGTATTATATTTTTCTTTGAATCTCAAGATACTATAAAACTTAGTGTTTGTGATATATTTAGATAATATGGACAAAGATTATTTATCATCTTTGTCCATATTTTATTTTTCTAATAAACTCCAAGCTAAATTATGAATTATATTGTAGGATTGGGGATCTAGCTCTAAAGTAGAGCACTTACCTCATATACATACATATATACCGAGGTTAATTCCCCAGTACAGGAAGGAGGACAGAGAAGATGGGAGGGAGAGAGGAGAGAAAACTATATATTTTAATAAAAAGATGGTATTTTTAAAAAATAATGGCCCATAACATTATGTATATAGTAAGCACTTTGTAGATACCTGAAAAATTTATTTGCATATCCTGTATTTGGCCCCACTGCCCAGAGCAGTACCTGCAGTAGGACAAATTGGTTTATTACCTAAGCCTCTTAGTAATTATGCAATTACTCAGGAGGTAACCACAAGAGAAAAGAGTAATGGTACTGAAAAAAATAATTGAATTATGGCAAAGTAGGGTTTTTAAAACTCAAGCACAGCTGTGGAAGTACATAATACATTTTAAACAAATTCTTACTAAATGAATAAAATTTTAAGTTTCCGTGTTCAAGGATTAAAGTTACATTGTCATAGAAATTAACTTACAGACATGGTTTCACTCTCACTGAACATACAGTATAGTGAAGGGAAACTGACATTAATCAGTTATGCTCATGTTTGAATAATTACAAATGAATTAATTGAAGAAAAGATATTCTCTGATAGCATATATAAAAGGAATTTGATGTAGGTGAAAGGAACAGGGAGACAGAATGCTTTTGTTGAGATCTGAACAATACAGAGTATATGCAGTCTACATCATGCAGTCCATGTTAAGAATTTCCTTCTATTTCCAGATTTGTTAGTTGTCTATTGCTGAAGTAACAAACCCACTTCACAACTAGATGGCTACAATTTATTATCTCTCACTATTCTTTGGGTTGATGGGGTAATTCTTTCCCTGGTCTTGCCTGAGTTCACTCCCATAGCTATGTTCAGCTGGAGTCTGAGTCTCTCACTTTATTTGGTCTTTCTAACCAGGCTTCTTCATCACTTAGTGGTCTCAGAATTCTGAGAAGTAAATACAGAAGCTGGGAGGCTCTTGAAGCTTTTGAATTTGTACACCACCACTGTTAGTTAGAGCAAGTGAAAAGATGAGGCCTGAGATAATAGATTCTACTTCTTGACTAATGGAGCTACAAAGATTTTGTGGTCATGTTTTCCTCTTAATTTACTACAGTCTCTCAGGTAACTATTTATTCATTAATTTGTTATTTACTCAACATTGTTTTTATAACTAGAAATCAAACATGAATAAGATTGAGTAATTTATTTTATTTATTTATTTTTTTGTGGTACCAGGGATTGAACTCGGGTCCTTGCACTTGCAAGGCAGGCCACCGAACCACTGAGCTAAATCTCTGGCCCAAGATTGAGTAATTTATAATTTCACCTTTTTTTTTAACCTTCAAGCACATGATATTCATGAGTTGTCATTCCATTTTCCATAGAATCCGTATTTGTGAACATTTTATCTTGTGTATAAAAATAAATCATTAAATGAAGAAATACCAAAAATAGAATAGAATTAGAGAAGAGGAAGAAAGCCACTGAGGATTATGTGTGATTTTTAGCCTAATTTTTCAACCATAAACATACATTTTATAGTTGGAAAAGAATTAAACCCATAAAAATGTAGCCATGAAATCATGGCATGAATAGGCACACAAATAAATTCAGTAGTGAAGCGAATTTTTAATTCCCTTTACAATTTTGTTCTCAGGTTTAAAAATGTTTCATTCCCAGCTCACTTTTCTCCTTGGGGTAATTCTGCATGAATGAAAAAATTTTATAGGTAAAAATGATGACAAAAATATTAGCTACTTGGGCTTTTGTTTTTTGTAAGAAATATCACAAGAAAGCAAAAACATTTAATTGCTTAGAAAGTTTATTTTGTGAACAGTAATAGCACCTAACTTGTCTATTTATTTTAATTCCAAGAATGATAAAAATGCTGCTTTTCTTCTGATGGAGAGTGATAGGCTAATCATCAGTTTACCCAGAGTAAAGTGGACAGAAGCAGCACTGACCATGGCATCTCAGCTCCAGGAAGAATGCGTTGCATTTATCGTAGAAAATTTCTCCGGGATCATTCATAGTGAAAATTTCACTCTTCTCTTACAGGTACTATGTCTAAAATCATATATTTAGTTCTGTCTTTGTGTTCTGATTTTCATTATGTAGATAAATGTAGGCTGCTTTTGATTACATTAGTGTGATTTAAATAAATTCCATAGCAGATGGCATATTTGCATCAGATTTAGAGCAGTGATGGACAGTGTTTTTGGCTTATGAGATAAGGAAGGCAGGAGGGACAGGTTTGAGTGTCCTGGCAAGGCACATGGCAGTTCTGGCCAACACTAGCTCTCAGTCTTCATTATCACGTTTTACAAACCGAAGGTGTAAAGGTAATGTTTTGCTCATTATTACAATTATGGTCCATGGGAGATTCCCTGTCTTACCAGGAACTACTTAACTGTCTTTAAAACTGATTATTTCTAGATTTTTGTTATGAGAGAAATGTTAGCTCTTAAGAACAGTGTATTTGTATGTATGTATATATGTGTGTATGCAGATTTTTTTAGCAACGGAAAGGAGAATCGCAAATACCGTTTCTTTTTATTAGTACATTTTCACGATACATAATGAATACATTCATTATGGGAATTTGGCAGATGTATATATCGCATCTCAATCCTTCCCTTTCCCTTTAATTCCTCCCTAGATCCCTTTTCCATCTCCAGGTGGACTACCACCCTGTTTCCTATTATCTGTCTTTTATTTTACTTTTTAAATTGCTTACACTTTGTATTTCTCAAGTAAAAGAAACCATGCAATATTTAACCTTCAGTGTCTGGTTTATTTTGCTTAGCATTAATTGCGTATGTAAGATTTCTGTTTGACTTCATATAGTTAAGATGACTATTTTGCTATTATGTCAGACTTTCATACTTGTTATGTATATTAATGAATTTTTATTAAAAAACAGTTTCTGTATTTCATAGTCACAAGCAATGAGCAGCACAGCTGATCTGTTGGACAAAATTTTAAAAGCAATTGATGAAAATATTACCACTGAAAATAGTTGCTCTCTTCTTATGGCTCTAGACACATTATTGAACTCTGAAACTACAAAGGAAATGGTACTGTATATAATATAATTCATTAAAATAATGTTATATTTGTAGCATTTAAAGATTTTAAGTTGTATGTACTTTTTAGGTGTTGCATTGGTCTCTGATATTAGGCAGTAGACACCTATGGTTGATTATGGTCTTTACTTTTCTGTGTGTTTGAAATTTGTTGTTTGAAATTTTTTATAATAAATTTTTTTTTTTTTTTTTGGTTCCAGGGACCTTACGTTTGGGGAAGCAGGCAGTGGAACCACTGAGCTAAATCCCTGGCCCCCCCAAAAATGTTTTAATACCATTTACTTTCAAATGGACTTTTTATAAAAGTTTAAAATTTGGCAGTTTAGTTCATTAATTCTAGACATAGCTTTTAGTAGTTATCAATATTATTTGGCACAGTGTAGCTCTAGTATTTCTCTCTGGTCACTACATTAAATTTTCAGATATAAAATGTATATTTCAGATTTTAATCATTAGTGCCTTTTATTTTTATAATATATTCTTAATTCCCTTTTCTCTTCCAAAATCACATTTTAAAATTAGATTGACAAGGGAGAAGCAATTTAATTACTGTATTGTTTTTATGTGTAATGAATCTACAACAGTATGCTAATTATAAATTATCATTTTTATTGTGTAAGAATAAAAATTTAGCATACTTATTGCTATTACATAGAGTATTTGACCTTGTAATGTCATAGATAATTTTAAAAGTCTATGGAAGACTTTTGTTCACATAAATGTTAGTGGTGCTTTAAAATAATGTTTGGCTGAAAGGGTAAGATTTAGCTTCACATTCGCTATAAAATTCTAATTAGTAAGCCTTCATAAATAACTTGTACCTAGCGATCTTAAAAATCTTAAGTGATGACATCATTGATCCAGCTTAGGAGTAAGTAGATTCGGAGAGGAATAATGACTGGTTGCTATGACAATGTGGCTCTCACCAGCTGCTGATTTGTTGCTTGAACACAGGGTTTTACGTGCAAGATCCAAGCTCTGCGTGATAAGCTGTGGATCTTCCTAGTTCAGTCTTTCTATGCTGTTCGACACACAGAAAGCTGGAAGCTGATGAGCACAGATGATCAACAGAAAATTCAAGCAGGTATTTTTTTTTTAATTCTCATTGTGTAATCTTTGTGACAACAGATATATGAAGGTGTTCTGATAATCAGATTAACGTTTGTGTACTTCCGTTCATTAAGGGTGCTAATCAAAACTAGTCACAGTAGGTTAGGCAGTTTTAACCATATTTTTTCCTTTCTTAGAAAATGAAACTCATTTCCCTTATATGTGCATATTGATTTTTAATCCTTTTGTGTATTAGCAGCAATATTCGAGCAAAATTTGTTAAAAGCATTCTTGTGAGGAGGTGAAAGTACAGAATAGATTACAAAATGTACTTTTTCAACCTTTAAAATACATTTTGTCATAAAGCTTTTCCATCTTTTTCCTAAGATACCCTTTCTTATGGTTTTGCCTAGATTAGATGGCTTTATTTCACAATTGATTGGTTCAGTGATGTGTTCTGTGCTATTGCGGAGTGTCCCTCAGGAGCTGCAGAGTGGTCTCTGACATTTAATAGGTACCATGTGAAACATTAGCATTAAACAAAAGATGTATATTGCTCAGAGTGTGTTTTTAAAATACCAAAATAAAATTTGAGGGTGTGGAGCTAAAAATGGCTTCACGACTATTTTTGGGTTAAAGCAGGTGCTTTAGAAAAAATACTGGCATATTCAGCAAGTATACTTTTAAAACCATTTAAAGCTAAGAGACTGTGTTTTATGAAGCAGATATTTTTGTCTTATAAAACATAGAAGCTGTGTGTGATAAAAATGTATTCTTGATAATACAAAATTGATAAAATATGTTATTTAGTGAAATAATCAAAATGTAACCTGCTCTATCTTACATTATAACATGATAGTGCAGCTAGAAATGATTTGGAGAGAACTTCTCAAAGAAATCCATTTTTTAAATGACAAAAATCATGAGATCTTTAAAACTTTAAATATTTTGCTTGAGACTGTTTCTGTGTTTATTTTTAGACGATTGTTTACTAAAAATCTGTACAATATGAAGAAATAAAATAAGAACAGCATTCTTCAGTAGGTGTCCTTCAGCTCTCTTTTGATTGGTAGCAAACTTTGCTTTTCTCTATTTTAAATTTCATATTTAAGTTGAACTTTAATCTTCAGTTCTTCGAAGTGCTAATTAAAACTACATTAAATACACATACATACAAATATCTAAACAAAATGTCATTGATAATACAGCTAATTATCACAAAAATCTTTTCACTTTATTACATTACATCAGTGTGATATTTTATTTTATTTTATTACATCAGTGTGATATTTTAAAATCTTAAATATATTAAAGTTATAATGAATTTTGACTTATGCTAATTATTTCATTACAAAAAGCACATTCTAGTTTGCCTTTGTTGAAACTAACATTTTTTATGTTCTACCTGAGTTACTGACCTTGGGGAGAAATTTTTATTAATGTCTTAATATATATTACTGTGTAGTCATTTGCTTCTTGCACATCAGTCTGTACAGTGCCATTTTCAGGATCTTGCTTTGTCTTACAGCCCACATCTCTACAGACTATAGGTTGTGGAAGATGCATGATAGAATTACAGATACTTTAATATATTTTATTAGCTGTTTTTTTTGAAAAAGTCAAATTTTGGAAAAATATATTTTAAAGCCCTATAACCTAAAAAAGAAAGATACATTAGCTAAATTATATTTTATGACTTCTGTAATAATTGTCATATAGACCTAACTTATAAAATGAATTTTTATTTAATTCTAAAAAGAATGAGTTTGGGGATTTTTATTTTATTTTTTTAACAAAGCCCTATTTTTCCTCTTTTCTTTCCTCTTTTCTCAGGATAGACCTGCAAAACCAGAAAATATTTTTAGTTAATTTCAGTGGATTTTCTTTATAGTTCTTAGTAGAAATATTTTCTCATATTTAATTGTTAATAACATATCATATTTGCCATAATTTCTAATTTTTTGAAATTTGGAAAACTAAATGAAATCAGCTTTAACATGCAGTTTGAGAAAATTCTGGGATTTTTTTATAAATATATTAATTTTCTCTCAGATTATACATTTCTTATTTAGTAATTTAAAAAACAAAATGATAGGGACTAGAGAATAAGATTGAAAATAAGATTATTTTTTAAAATTCTAAAATAAAATGGAATTTGTTTATATACTAGGTAGATTTTTTTTAATCTCCATCAAAATACTGTGTAACCTTTTGCTGCTAGCTTTCTAATAAAATGCTTCCTGTAAAAATAAATTGCTGTTTCTTTCTACAGCTGCACTTGACAAAGGTGATGACCGAAGACTTGGCAAAAAGCCTATATTCAGTAGCTCTCAGGTAAACTTTTCTAAATTTTAATAGGTCCAAATAATAAAATATACCAAATTTTATTCTTTTCTATTTCAAAATATTTTAAAAATCTGTCCATTTAAAGCTAACTATTGATGGAAATAACTTTAAATCTTTTTAAAGTGAATATTTGATAATTTTTTTAAACTATTTGGGGTTAAATCCAGGAATTGCTGATCTATAATCCCAGTTCTTTTTTTTTTTTTTTTTTTTTTGGTTTTTTTTTTTTTTGTTTTTTTTTTTTTAAGTTATCTCTCTAAATTTTTTTTTTTTTTTGGTTTTTTTTTTTGTTGTTTTTTTTTTTTGAAGTAGGGTCTCACTAAATTGCTTAGGTTGGCCTTGAACTTATGATCTCCTACCTCAGCATCACAAATAGCTGGTATTATAGGCATGTATCACCATGTCTGCTTGATATGAATTTTTAATATCTAGCTGGCATGAAAAGTATCTACCTTTTTCATTTCCTTGAAAACCTTTTTTGGCAAGTATATTCCAGTAGCTTAGAAAATCTTTAAAATTCCAGACCTAATTCAATGTTTACTTTTCTAATTAATTCACATTATATTGGTGTGAAAAAAAGCGATTAGTACCAAGAATAGAGTTATGTTTTACTCTAAAAGTTGTTTGGTGTACTTATATAAAGTATCTAAAGTAGTCAAATTCTTGAAAGCAAAGTAGAATTGTGACTGCCAGGGACCAGTGGGTGAGATCAGGTATGGAAAGGACAATTATTAAGTGAATATACAGTCTCAATAATGCAGCATGCAGAGATTTTAGAGATCTGGTGTGCAGCAAAGTACATATATTAACATTATTATATTATAAGTTTTAAAATTTAATATGGTAAATTGTGCTGGTTTATTAACCACACACATACTCACTACTTGATGTATTTGTTGTAACCTAAAATACATTTTTCTGCTCCCAAAATGTTATTAATAATGGATAGAGTTCCAAGATAACTTATAGCTGCTCATATAATCAATAATACATTTGAAGTATAAAATTATATTAACCTACTATGTACGTTAAAATGATAACATGGAAATATATATTAGAATTTCAGTTTGGAATGCAAAGAATATACTGCCCTTGTAGAGTGGAATAGGGATTTCTGTTTTCTTTCTTTATCATTCAGTAGGTAGAAATTAACACACTCTAAGCCATAACTGAGCTTTTGTGGCTTAGGAGGGATCAAACTCTAAATGTCTTATTTGAGAGATTATGACATGGGGCTCTTTGCCAGTAAATCTCCTAGGGCTGTTTGCTAGATTGTGTTTTGCAGTATGCTAGCACCATCATATGTCCTACTAAAAATTATCTAGCATCAACTAAGTTTAAAAATTACTACATTTCATAGCTCTTCTTACACCTTGGTAATGAAAAATATATCTTAAAAGTACTGAGAACACTACAGTAAGAAATACTTTGGATTGTTTCACCCCAAATTTCTTATTATTAAACTATGGAGCATCACTATCCTCCCTGTCCACTCCTTTTTTTCCCACCCCTTTAAAGTACTATATGATACAGTTCCCTGTTTCTTCTTGGAAATGGTACCTTAGGACATTTTTTTAAATGTGCTTAATTCACTGTAATCTCTGTGTGTTTGTGTTTTTTAAAGATTTAGCATATCTGCCTTCCTTTACCCTATTACCAACTAGGTCTTTCCTCCTTCCTTTGCCTCATAAGAAAATAGAACAGATTCTCATTCTTCTTTATGTTCCTGACTTAAAGATCTTCTAAGTGCTTTTTCAGTTAACAACAATGGAAAGAATGCAGGGTTATAAGTTTCCCTGGGGGAGGTAGTGGTATACTCAAATGGATACTGGATATAAGATAAACTGTTAGAATTCTAGAACACTGCTCTAAGGAGGTCCATTCTCCACTCTACAAACAAGTAATCTAAAGCCCAGGGATGTTAATATCTTCCTAAATATCCTAAATCCATTAGAGCCAAATCCAGGACAATAATCTAGTGTTACCTTTAACACCAATTTTCCTAAATTTAGACAACTTTTTTTCCTTATTAATAATTTTATTTATGTGTTATCTGTATCCATATGAGTTATTTTAACTTGGGCAATTTTAATGTAATTATAGAAGCTTTTCATGTTGAAAAATTACAGTATATCAGTCATATGCTCATTTTTAACAACAATCATCAGCATTTTCTCAAGTCCCTCGTATATAAGGAACATAGTGCCAAAGGCTTTGGATAAAAAAGATACCTCATACCTCTACATTTTCATGCAGCTTCACAAAGAAAAAAATAAGCATATGCAATATAGTCTTATATTTTTGTTCTAAAATTCCTACCAATTTTTAAAAACCTCTTCCCTTTCTTATCAGTATTGGTGATAATGAAGATAATGAAGTAGTTGTATTTTCTTAAGTATCCTTCTCATTTCCTCCCTTTATCTATTTCAGCTATTTTTAGGACTCCTGTTCCTCCATTTCCACCAGATAGCCAATACTGGACTACCATCTAGTTCTTTGAAAAAAATAGTCTTTTCAGATGTAATGCATTGTGTGTTTCTAGGAGCTTTGTTTGTTTTTTATTTTTAAATGAGGGCTTCAAGAGGTAAATTATTCTACCACAGAGGATTAAATCTTTAAAGATAAAATTTCTGATATTTGAGATAGGTTGAAGAGAGAATTTTGGGTGAAAATCTTTATAATGTCCTTCAGATTGTACCATTTAGATGACTATCTCTGTGAGGCAGTAAATCATGAACTCAAGTCCTAATTCTGTCCCTTAATAGCATATTCTTTAATCCTCACTTTCTTACTTAAGAAAAAATCATAGCTACAGAAGTGATTTCATAGGATTATTGTTAGGATTAAGTGAAGTGATATATGAAAATGATTTATTTAGCATGGAACCTGGAAATGGGCCTTCAAAAATTCTTAGATATTGTTATGTATTCAAGACATCTTGAATCTTTAGGTTTTAATCTTCATAAATTAAAATAGTATGCCTTTTAAATAAACATTTAATGCTGTATCTTAGTCTTAAGATGTATGATCCAAGATGCAAAGTTTTTATTAAAATGATCAAAGACAATTCAGATTTTGAATTACTTTAAATCATAATATGAACTTTTCTATTTTTTCTTCTGAAAACTTGGCTCAGTTAAGTATTATATGTTAAAAACTTCAGGCAAGTTAAAAATTATTTTTTTTCTTCTTTGTAGCAAAGGAGACATGTTTCTGACTCTGGTGTTATAAAAAACAAATCTTGGAGAGAAAATAACAAGAAAGAGTGTTGGCGTTCTCTCTCTACTAATCAAAAGATGAAATCTGATGGATTAGGAGCATCTGGACATTCATCAAATGCTAATAGAAATAGTATAAGTAAAACTTCAAAGCATGATGATTTAAAGGAAAAGGATGGTACAAAAATAGCATCTAAGATTACAAAAGGATTGAAAACTGGGGAAAAAGATATTTCTGGAAATCCCAAAACTATAGTAAAGCCCAAAATAGAAAATAATGATAATACAAAGTTGGAAAACTTGTCACTTAAAGTTGTGGAAAGAACAGCAGCATCAATTGGACAGAAAAGTTCATTAAATGCAAAAAAATTAAGAAATCAGGAAGGGCAAGTTACAGGTGCCAGACCAAAGGTACTTACTGGGAACTTAAATGTGCAAGCCAAAACAAAGCCTTTTAAAACGGTGACAGGGAAAGATTCTCCATGCCTCAGCATCACTGGACCCTCCAGCAGATCTACAAATTCAAGTATGGAATTGCTGACTTCCACCGGATGTCTCAGTGAACCAAAACAAAATGGATCAGTAGGAGAAGAGAAGTCTTCTGGTCAGAAGCTATCCTTTTGTGATTCTCCAGGAGAGATGGTGAAAAGCAGTGTAGATGGTGTCAAAACTTCCTCTGTAGGTGGGTTTTAGCACTCTGATTTTTGCGGCTGAGGACTGAACTAGTGCCTCGCACATGCTAGGCTAGTGCTCTACTACTGAGCTATCCCCCTAGCTTTATACTCTAATTTTAATAACTCCTGACAGTTACAGTTCTTGGAAAGAATGGTCCTTGGAGACATTTATTTATATGTATTTGTGCAAACTAAGGGAAAACAGTCCTACCCACTTCAACACTTAATTTTGTTTATAGTGTCTAACCAGTAAATTTACACTGAATTGTTACATATTAATGTATTCAATGTCATGACTGACTTTTTCTTAATTTATAGCACTAAAGTCTCGGCCTATTTCAAGAGTTTCTAATGGGATTTCCAATAAAAAAGGCATTCATGAACAAGACACTAATGTAAATAATAGGTAGGTCTTTGTTCATTGTTTTATCTATAAGCTAACTTTCTCTGAAAATTACAGTAACTACAGTAAGTCCCTGACTTACAAATGAGTTTTGTTCCAGGAGAATGTTCATAAGTCAGATTCATTCCTAAGCCATCAAAGTGAGTCTTATGCGGTACACCTATGAATCTTAATACAGTTCACCTGTGAAAGTTTGCAATTCAAATGTTCATAAGTTGAGGACTTCCTATATATACTAACTTCTAATTAAATATTACTGAAATATCTTTGCAAAGAAATGCCATGTATTTATTATATAGTGATTTTTAAAATTATTTTCTTATTAAAAAGTCTGTACAAAATGATGATTAGTGTAGAGTATTAGAAGAATATCTTCCTTTATACTTACAACACATAATTATTCATTGCTTTATCACTTGGCCTACACTCTTGAAAGTGAACATAATGATTTTTCTATTTTCAGAAAAGACTTTATTTCTTGAGAAAAAATTATTTCATGTATGGATCTTTTAAAAGTTCAGAAGCCGGGCGTGGCGGCCCACGCCTATAATCCCAGCCCTCGGGAGGCTGATACAGGAGGATTGCTGTGAATTTGAGACCAGCCTGGGCTACATAGTGAGTTCCATGTCAGTCTCAACTACATAATGAGACCCTGTCTCCAAAAACCAAATAAATAAATAAAATAAAATTTCATTGTTTGGAATCTAACTGTACTATTGAATGCAAATCATTTTTCTTAGTGTACTAAAGAAGGTCAGTGGGAAAAGATATAGTGATCCAGTACCACAAGCAGTCTTGAAGAAAAGGAGTAATGGCAATGGACAGCAAAGGATGAAGAGTGCCCCATCTAAACTTGCTAAAATTCAAGGTAAGCCAAAGTAGTCCTACGTACCATGAGTATTATTTCCTTATGTAAGTTGGTTAAACAAAAATCTGATTTGAAACTTCAGTAGCAAATGAGTAAAACATAACATGATTCCACTTACTTTACATTTGTTTCACATGATAGAGATGAGAGTTTATGCTTTTACTTTTAGACAAATATTTTAGTGTTTGAAGGATTTTATTGTCCTTTGTAGTAGAAATAATTAAGGGAGTCACAAGTTTACTTGCATTTTAGGTCCTTTTATATAGAATATGCCCATGTGCCTTTATTGATAACTCCAGGAATTACATCTAAAAAGGCAACATTAACGAGCTTTTAAAATAATGATATGGTTCAGGCAGCCATAATATGTAGGGAGAAGGAACTTTCTCTTCAGAATTTGCTGTGCCCATTGTCTTCAGTGATCTAAGAAAGAGTGTGTAACACAAGTGATTTCAAAAATTATTTTTCTTCATTAAGCATTCACATAAGAGCAGTTTGGATAATCCTAAAAATAATTTTATTTATATTATTAATTAATACTTAATACCAATTTAAAAATAAGGCAGAGGACTGGGGATTTAGCTCAGTAGTTCTGCCACCTGCCTCACAAGTGCAAGGTCCCAAGTTTGATCCCTGGAACAAAAAAAAAAAAAAAAAGGCAGAGAAAAATTATTCATATCTTAGTAAGAGTTAAAAATTTATCATCTAAAAGTCTTTCATAGGGCTTATATTTCAGTAGTAGAGTGCTTGCCTAGCATGAATGAGGTCCTGGGTTCAATTTCTAGCACTGAAAACAAAATCCATCATTCTGTTTGGTAAATTTGAATACGCAGAATATTATCTGTAAGATTTTAACAAGCATAAACAAATGGATTCCTAAAATTAATACCCTGCTCCCTCTAGTCAGCAGTTCTGGTTCCACTGCAGATCTAAGTAGTTAACCCCAGTGATTCATGGTTATGTTATAAGAAGTAAGTTGGTTTTATTCATGTTTAAATAAAACAACTAACAATTACAACTATTTTATATTTTTGTATTTAGCTTGAGTCCCCTTTGTAGCTATGTGGAATACATCCCCCCCCAACCGCAAAAAAAAAAAAAAAGGATTTAAGGGAAGACCTTTCTTCCTCCTTTGGTATAAGAAAATAAGATTTTTCACTTTCATATGTTTATGTCAATCCAGTTTTGGCATGAAGATCAAGGGCTTTTGCTTGACGAGAGATCCTCTTCTAAGAAATTTTACTGAGACCCTGGAATAAGAGGGAGGGAGAAGAGTGAGGAAGGGAGGGATGGGAGGTTGGTGTTGGAAATCAAACTCAGGGTCTCATAAATTCTAGGCAAGAATACAATTGAGCTATACCCCAACTTCTCTCTATATTTTACGTCATTTTTATCAATGACTGATTCCTAATCTGTTGTTTTCCATTTGATTGTAGGTGTTAACCATTGATTTTATTTTTCTAATAATTTAAAACATACTGAATTCCCCACAGAATTGGAGAGTATATTTCTGTACTTTCTTTTCTTAGGATCCCAAGAAGAGTCACCAAGTTCAGTTAAATCTTCAGTCTCTTCAAGGCAGTCAGGTGAAAATGTGACAAAGTTGGACCACAGTATAACTACAGATAAACAAACGTCTAAGAGAAAAATTGTCAAGCAAGGACACATAAATACTCCTAAGCCTAATGCAAAAATGTCAATACCTAAAAACCTAAATCAGCCAAAGATACTCAAAACGTTGAATAATAAAGATTCAAAACAAAAAATGCTTCCTAAACAGGTTATACTGAAAACTCAGTCTTCTCAAAAATATTCAAAAAGTGAAATGTCTGTTGTCCAAAAAAGCTGTCGTGATGTACATGACAATAACAACAAAGACAATGTTTCTGAACAAAAACCTTACAGATCTCTAATTAATCTCACATCTGAAATCAGTGATATGGAAGCATTCCATTCATCCTGCAGATCTGACCCACAAAAGCTATTAAGCAGTCAAGAAAAGGATAAGTTGGGGTTAGAATGCCAGAATATTTCAAAGCTGGACAAATCAATAAAACATGAACTGAAAGCAAGACAGATTTGTTTAGATAACAATGAAACAAAAGTTCCCAATCACAAAGACATAAATCACTGCAATATAACTAAAACATACAGTCATTCTGATGAGAGTGATATAGATTCAAAATTTTTTAGCGTCACTGCTCTAAAATCTACACTTTCAAATATAAATGAAAATTCCTTAAACTGTAATTCAGTTTGTGATTTAGATACAACAAATATAGAGCAAATTTATTTAATATCAGATAGAGAGAAACAAGTAGGGAAAAAAGATACAAACATAAAATGTGTGAAAGAGGCTTTACCTTGCGCTCCTGAAAAGGCAAAAAGTACCTTAAATACTGTTCAAGATGATAGAAAATCTAAAATTTGTGTAGAACCCACAACTCCTAATCAGGTGTTTGATGATTCTACTGTGAAGGAAGACAAACATGCTGCAGCAGATTCAGATGTTTCCTCCAAATGTTTTTCAGGACACGTGTCAGGAAAAAATTTTTCTAAAAATATAGAAACACTAGAAACTCTAGAGAACCATGAAACTCTAGAAGTTCCATTCACCAGCCACTGGAATTTGAATACCAGTGTGCTGCCTCAAAGAGAGAGTCCTGAATCCGACACAGGCAGTGCTACCACATCCTCTGATGACATAAAGCCCAGATCTGAAGACTATGATGCCGGAGGGTCTCAGGATGATGATGGATCAAATGACAGAGGTATTTCTAAATGTGGCACTATGCTGTGCCATGATTTTCTTGGAAGAAGCAGCAGCGATACCAGTACTCCTGAAGAATTAAAAATATATGATAGTAATTTAAGAATTGAAGTAAAACTGAAAAAGCAAAGTAATAGTGAACTTTTCCAAGTTAATTCAACAAGTGATGATGAAATTCCTAGGAAAAGGCCAGAAATTTGGTCTCGATCTACAATAGTCCACCCTAGGGAAAAAGAACATATTCCACGAGGCAGTATCCAGTTTACTCAGGAGATAGATCAGATTTCTTCTTCAGCAGATGAAACAGAAGATGAAAGATCTGAAGCTGAAAATGTTGCAGAAATTTTCTCTATAACTAATCCAGCTCCACAGCAATTTCAGGGAATAATAAACCTAGCTTTTGAAGATGGAACTGAAAATGAAAGGCGTGAGTTTTCTGCAACTAAAAAGTTTAAAAGGTCAGTTTTACTTTCAGTTGATGAGTGTGAAGAACTGGGATCTGATGAAGGGGAAGTTCATGCCTTTCACCCTTCTGTAGATTATTTTTCACCTTCTGATGTTTTTGATGGTGTTTCTCATGAGCATCATGAAAGGACCTGTTATCCCAGATTCTCACAAGAAAGTGAAGATAGTATTTTAAAATGTAAACAACAAGATAAAGGTAATAGTGCAAATAAAACTGACAGCACTGTCTTGGGTCTTAGTAGCACTGACTCTTTGAAAACAGATAAACAGAGTACTACAGCCACAGACAAAAAGAATACATTAGATGTCCTGTCCAGAGGAAACAGACAGCTTTTTCAAGAAGATAAAAAAGTACACAGTGGAAGAGACATGGATAATGACTTTCAGCAACGCAGAAAATTCGTGGATAGTGATATAAAATCTCAAGAAAGACCATGTCATTTGGAGCTTCATCAAAGAGAACCCAGTTCTGACATACCAAAGAACAGCTCTGCAAAATCTGTAGACTCCTTTCGGAGTCACATTCTGCCTCAGGAAGGTCAAGTGAAAGAAAGCCATTCTACAGCTACAGAAAAAGCTAATATTGCTTTATCTGCAGGTAATGTACAGAAATAGAAATGCTAAATGCATAAGAAAATACATTTATAGAATTTTAAAGTTGTATGTAACCCTGAATGTTATATTTTAGGTAGGTAGAATAATTACTTAAGTAACAGTGACAAATTTAGATGAATATTTAAATTTCTTAATATGAAAAGTAGCTAGTCATTCTTTTGTTTACTTAAAATCCTAAGAATTAATATCTAGTAAAAATTTTGGTATTAGAGTTAACCTACTAGGAGATTTTTACATGATAGAATATAGAGGAAAACTTGTTATTATTAGTTATTTATGTTTAATTTAACATAATTCTTGACTACCAGAAATTTTATTATACATTGGATATGATTTATGGACTTTTAGTATATATCTAAGAGGGCTGTGCAATAACTATAGTAATATGTACCTAAAGACACTGAACTATTTTAACAACTAGATATTACAATTTATATACATTTTACAGAGATTAAGCTTTCAGGATCAATATAATTACTATTCTAAATTTTTCAAGTAAGAAGTTAAATTTCATAAAAGAGATTATATTTAGATGTAATAATAATATATGAAAAAAGCCCAGGCTTATTTCATATGCTTAGATGATTTCTTGTCTAATTGTTTTGTGTTTTTGTCTTCCTTTTTATAATAATTCAGATTAAAGACCCACACTTGAAATATGCAGTAGTGGCTGACTGAGCAGCTATTGTGTATCATAACAGATACTGATTAATAAATCCCTATTCAGCAGACTTAAGAATAGGAGATCTTTAAAAGTTGTACTTTTTGTTTGTTTGTCCTTGCTTGCATCCTCCTTTGCATGTGCAATATAGAAATAAATCTTGAGATAAAAATGTATTTTTCCCCTTTCGGAACTGACTTACTTTAAAAGTCACATCAAATAACTGTCTTTTTTTCCCCTAAGTTTCTGTTGTAGTGAATTAAATTATGTGCACTTTCTATGTTTATGTTTAAATAATTTATGTTACTTTCTGTATCATAAGCTTTCAAATTAAAGTATGGAAAATTGTTATTAGTTGCCTATGTTGATTTTGCTGCTAAATATTACCCTTGAATATTTTTAACATAGAAAAGGAAATGCCTCAAAAAATTTGTGAATTTTGTATAAATGTTATTTTTCCCATTTTTGTGGTGTTTTTTTTGAGGGGTCTATCACTGTTATATTGTATTAATATTGCTCTACAAAACTCTGAGGGGTACCAACATGTGCAATTTTTACATTGTGTAGTATTATGAATTATTTCAGGAGACATAGATGATTGTGACACACTGGCACAAACCCACATGTATGACCATCGGCCTTCAAAAACCCTCTCTCCAATATATGAGATGGATATAACAGAAGCATTTGAGCAGAAAATGGAATCTGAAACGCATGTGACAGATACGGATATTGAAGATGATCAACACTTTGCAAAACAGGATTGGACACTACTAAAGCAACTGCTCTCGGAACAGGATTCAAACTTAAATATTACAAATTCTCTTCCTGAAGACCTAAATTTGGCACAGTATTTAATCAATCAAACACTCCTTTTAGCACGAGACAGCTCCAAGCCTCAGGGTATAGCACATGTTGACACTTTGAACAGATGGAGTGAACTATCATCTCCTCTTGATAATTCCTCAACAAGTATTACCATGGCTAGTTTTTCCTCTGAAGATTGTTCACCTCAAGGGGAATGGACAATTCTGGAACTAGAAACTCAGCATTAAAAGTCTTAAATATTTGGAAGATTTAAACTATGCCATCCCTGTATTTTTTTTTGATGTCTATATTATATCTAAATTATAATTGCATTAGACAGATATAGACTGTCCTTGATACTGAGGGAGTTTTCCAGATTATTGAGATAAACATAGTTTATTAAAATGATATCACACGTAGAAAGTGTTTTTCCAAAGTCTTTGAGCATGTTTTCTATAATTATTAGAAAAATTAGAAGATTTCATAAGGAAACACACAGTTTTCCTTTCCTTCCTGATCATTTGTTCCCTTGTTTATTATTCAAGAATTTAAAGTAGGAATGCACAAGTAGATCATTCCCTTTACCCCTTTTTGCTCTGCATATGGTACCATAGTAATTTAACAATAAAAAACTTACTATGCTTGTGTCTGTTTATATAAAGTTAATATTGTCATGCTCAAGTTGGGATGATTTACACTATGGGGGAAAAAGAAAGCTCAGCTTTCTCAACAGTTCCAATCCAGGAGATTGTGAATCAAGTGTGCCTCAAATTTTAAACTACATTATGAAAAAAGAAATTAAGTTTCCTGCATCTCCTTTTTTTGGGATCTTTTCTCAGAGAGCTGTCTGGTTTTGTTCAAAGGCATTTTGAAAACTTTTTCTGTCTTACCTACATAAATTCCCTTAATCACTTTCCATTTTACATTTCATGCTGGGAATATTTTGGAACTATGCCTGCAGTAAGCTAGCACTAAATATGAAAATGACGGATTGCTGAGTTTTAATTTCTCTGTATGTGTGCAAATGTACTCTTTCTTAGTGTGTTTACTTTAGCTCTTTTTTATGTACCATGTTTTTAGCACTGTTTGCTCTGAGACTCTGGACTAGTGCTTTATCATTCAACAAACATTGAAAAGTAATTGCTAACATTTAGTACTTACATGTTAGACACTATGCTAAGTACTTTTAAATATGCATCAACACATTTAATTCTCACATGAGTTTTATGGATGACTGGGAATTTGGTGATAAAGCAGCCTGATTACAACAGCACATTAAGAATTGATGACTAAGATGGGCATTAAGGATGGGGAAGAAGGAGTGTGGGGGCCAGAGTTGAAAAACTAAGCTGGAGCTGGATTCTGAAAAATACTATCTTCAAGGTGTTTACATATTCTAAGCCTTGGGTTTAATAAGCAGTGTGTTTTCTCTCATCATGACTTAGTTTTAACTCTCAGTAGACAGTTTTCATGTTCTTGGAAAGCAGTCACCTACATGTCACAAGGATTAATCAAAGTTGGGCTTTTTTGTTTATTTGATTATTTTGTTTTGTCTTTTTAGTATTTAGGTAACATAGGTGGGTATATTTTAGAAAAGTAACTTTGAGCAGTTATGAAGATAACCTGTTTAGGAGAAGTAGCCACGCCTGTTAGGAAGTGATTATAATAATTTTGTCAACCTTAGAAATGGGGAATGGAGAAGGATTAGGTAACAGATATTAGGTAGGTTGAGATTTTTGGGCTTGAAAAGTGATCAGATGGTGGGAAAAGATGGAAAGGAGTTTTTAAATTTCTTCTGTTCCAAGAATTTTACCTGGGCTAGGAATAGAAAGCATAGTACCTTGTCCTTGAGTTTTCATGATCATATGCAAGAGAGATTGTTAAACAAAAATGGCAAAACTGGAATGTTAAATGTCACCATAAAGCTCTGTACAAAGTATAATTGATGTGTAAAAGAACTGATAGGTACTTGGATAGGCTTCCATACTGTCTAATGAGTGATTATAAGTCACAAGACAGTAAGACACACACTCTTGGCAGAAAAAGAGCTCAGAGACCGTGAATAATTCTAGCTCCATAAGGCTGAAAGAAGGGAGTAGAAGGAAAGGTCAAGAGTTGAAGCTGGACAGGGAAGGAACATGGTCAGATTTCCTTTGTACAAAGATCTCTGGCAGCAGTATGTAAGGGAGCAGGGTAGATGATGTGAAGACAGGGAGAGTAGTTTTTTTGTAATCAGAGCTTGAATAGGGCAGTGCCACAGAGAAGAATGGAAACAGTTCTGAGAGGTGGAATTGAAAAAACTAAGACTATTCGCAAGTGACAGTGAAAGAAAGGAATCCTCTTAACAGATTTAGGTTTCTGACTTGGCTGCCTGGGTGTTTGATGATGTCATCAACCAAAAACTGAGCAAGTGTAGGAGTAAAGACGAGTTTAATTGGGACACACTGAGTTTGAGAAGCCTACGGGACATTCAAAGAACTGGGAACAAAATACTGTTGACTAGAAAAGCCTATCAAGGATACTGAAAAAGGAATAGTCTGAAATAGAAGTAGGAGGCCAAGGTGAAGAGAAAAGAGTGATGAATGTATAACTTTGCTATGAATCAAGGGAAAGTCAAGGTATCAGATCCAATTTTGTCCTATCAAATTCATGTGGAGTTTTGAAGGTTTCTTTTAAATCAGTGTTAGCAAAAGAACAAGTTTGAGATCTTGTTTTCCAAGTGCAAGTTATTTTTAAAGTAAACAAACAATTTATATCAAGAATGTTCGTTACTTCATATCCTTAACCTAATCCTTTCTCCTCTTTGGATCTAATGGTAACAATGAAAAAATGTCTCAGATGAGGTTTGCCTGCAAAAATGTATACTGGAGAGCTAGATATATTAGTGAAAATTGAAAAGGTAAGCATCAACAGTAGAAGAAAGTGTTTAAAATAGTTTTAAAAAATCTGTTTAGTGGCAAGGGAAAATACTTAGAAGAAAAAAGTCCAGATTGTATTTGTGTGTGTGTGTGTGTGTATATATATATATATATATTTGGGTATGTCCCAAATTTGTGTGCAGAAACATTTCAAATGTACTCTTAGCAAATCTCAGGTATATTTATAACGTACTAATGTGGTTACCAAGCTGTGCATTAGCTCTCCAAAATTTATTCATCCTGCATAACAGTTAGTTCCCTTTGACCAACATCTTTTCCATTTCTCCAGCCCCTGACAACTACCATTTGTTATCTGCTTCTTTGAGTTTGATTTATTAAGATTCTATTTGTCTTTTTGTGCCTTATTTAATTTAACATACTATCTTCTAGGTTATCGGTGTCACAAAGAATAGGGTATCCTTTATAAGACTGATTACTATTCCATTTTATACACACCACATTTTCTTTATCCATTTCTCCATTGGACAGTTTAGGTTGAATCCCATTATCTTGGCTGTTGTAATTAATAATGTAGTAAACATGGTGTACAGATATCTCTGAGTTACTGATTTCATTTCTTTCAGACATACAGTATTCCCAGAAATGAAATAGCTGGATCTTATGGTAGTTTGTTTTGTTTTGTTTGAGGAATCTCCATCCTCTTTTCCATTGTAGCTATATCAGTTTAGATTCCCACTAGAAGTATGCAAGAACTACCCTTTCTCTCACATCCTTATTAACATTTGTTGCCTTCTCTCTGTCCGTCTGTCTGTCTGTTTGTTGGTACTCGGGATCAAACTCAGGACCTTGCCAATTGTGAGGCAGGTGGTAGAACCACTGAGCTAAATCCCCAGCCATTCTGTTGTTGATAGTAACCATTTTAACAATTATGAAATGATTTCTGATAGTGTTTTAAATTGTATTTCCCAGATAATTAGTGATGTTGAACAGTTCACATGTACCTTTTGGTTGTATATGTACTTTTGAGAAATGTCTATTCAAGTCTTTTGCCCATTTTATAATCAGGTTATTTTTTTGCTTTTATTTCAGTCCCTGATTTTTTTGAATACTAACCCTTTATCAGATGTATGGAGTGCATATATTCTTCCATTCTGTAAGTTGTCTCTTTCTTCTCAACTGTTTCTGTTATACAGAGATCTTTTAGTTTGATGAAAGCCCATTTTTTGTTTTTTGTTTTTGGTAGCTGTGGGTTCCCATTTTTTTAAATGATGTCTAGATCAACATCAGGAAGCTTTTTCCCTGTTTTCTTCTACTAGTTTCATAGATTCAAGTCTCACATTTGACATCATAATCCATTTTGAGTTGATTTATATGTATGAAGTGATGACCTGATCTCCTTTGCATGTAGGTGGCCAATTTTCCCAGAACCATTTATTGAAGGGATTGTCCTTTCCCCATTCTGTGTTTTGTGTCTTTGTTGATGATTAGTTGACTATAAACTTGCAGATTTATTTTAAGCTCTCTATTCTCTTCCATTGGTCTGTTTTTGTGCCAGAATCATGCTATTTTGATTATGAAAGCTTTGTAGAATATTTTGGAATAAGATAGTATGCTGTCTCCAGCTTCATTCTTTATGCTCAAGATTACCTAGGCTATTCAGGGTTGGTTTTTTATTTGTTTTTTGTTTTGTTTTGTTTTCCCCCAGTGGGTCTATGCAAATTTTAGGATCGTCTTTTCTTTCTGTGAAAAAAATTTCATTTGAATTTTGATAGGGATTGCATTGTATCTGTAGCTTCATTGAATTATATAAAAATGTTAATGGTACTTGTGATTTGGGGAAGACTATAGTTTTTAAAATTTTGAGGCTATCATAGCTTTCCTCACAATAGTCCACCCTGCTTTCTCAAGGGCATTCTTTTATCTTGCTTTTTCCTCTTTTACTCATCCCAGACTTGCTCTACAAAGCCAGTTTCTGTCAATCTTCATGTTGACTTTTTCAAATAAACTTTGCCACTACTTTAAAAAAAATTTTAACACCCATACTTACTATGTTTTGTTTTCTACGTGGTACAGAAAAGTAAGTTGGTTTGTTATGAAATAAGTAGTAAGGTAAAAAATTTCAAATGCTATTTGAGATGTCAGTTAAAGTCATACATCTGTACTATTCCACTAAATTTGGAAATTAGGGTTTATTTTTTTGTTGACTATTAAAAAATATAGGGGTTAAAAAATGAGGCTACAGTGGATTAAAAGGTGAAGGAAGTAAAGCAGTACAACTTACTTTTCTAGGGAGCTTTTAACTAAATAATATGAACTTGAAGATACTGTTTAATTGTTTGTTTTTTCTTTTGTTTTGAGGTAATCTTACTATGTTGCCCAGCCTGGCTTGAAACATCAGGCCAAAGTAATACTTTTGCCTCAGTTCTCCAGTAACTAGAACTACAGATACATGCCACTACACCTGGCTGTAATAGTGCTGTTTTTAAAATTAAAATGTTTCAGCCCTTTGAAAATATGGAGTCAGAATAATCTACAAATCAAGGACCACCATCAAGAAAGAGACAAGAAAGCTCCGCCCAATAGTGCACACTTGTAGTCTCAGCTTCTTGGGAGGCTGAGGCAGGATCACAGCCTGAAGTTCAAAGATAGCCTGGGCAGGGCTGGGGATTTAGCTCAGTGGTTCTGCCACCTGCCTTGCAAGCACAAGGTCCTGAGTTCGATCCCTGGTACACAAAAATAAAAATAAAAAAATTTTAGCAAATTTTGCCAGGCGTGGTGGCGCACGCCTGTAATCCCAGCACTTGGGAGGCTGAGGCAGGAGGATCGCTGTGAGTTCGTGACCAGCCTGGGCTACATAGTGAGTTCAGATCAGTC